TATTTTACTGTCTGAAGTTGCAACCACTGCAATAGCCCTTTGGACAGGGGTTCATGCAAATGTGTTAATTAGCAAGACCAGATAAGTTTCTATACTACACGAGTTAATTACCATGAGATGATAACTCATCATCACCAGGTTTAATACCTCCAGCCACAGGCTGCCCACCCTGGCATGGCATAGGCTCCCTGTGGGGCAAAGGTGGGAAGAAGGGTTGTGGTCCCCATACCCAATGTGCCCCCACATCTACCCCCACATCCCCTCTTGGGATGTTACTGGTAGTAGAGACATTACTCTCCCATCATCTCTGAGCACTTCTATCAGCTTCACTCCAAGTGAGCAATCTCTTAGACCCCAATTTACAATAAGTTTTTTAAAATTCCCCAGGCTCCCTTCTGAGCTAATTCCCCGGAGCCTTATTTGTTTCTGCTAGACCCTAGCTGTTTTGGAGCCTTTGAAGAAAATCTGTTCAGACACTTCAGCTATATAAGCAAGAAAAAAAAAGGAATAGAAACAAATTCTTAATGCTGGGAAAAATCAGCTCTAAAACTTGTTGATAATCAAAGATGTTCATGGGGAGCATTACCTTTACTGCAGGCTGATCCTTGTTGCAGAGGGGTGATGAGAGAATGTCTTTGTTGCTGATGATTTGGGATAAGGGATGTAGATCTGGAAGGCTTTTAAGTGCAGATGGAGTTGGATCCTGACTTACCTAATGGAGTCATGGATACACAGTACCAGCTGGAGCTTGTGCTGGGCTATTTAAGGTTTGTCCAAGGCAGGTCAGCTGGATTTTGTGCTCTGAAACATGATGGACATCCCTGCAGTTAGAGCAGTCATAGGCTAGGAACAGAGCCTCCCCAAAAATGTCACATGAGGAAACCATTGGAAACCTGCTGGGAACTCTCCCCAGGTGGGGGAACTATGTGTCCTGGACAAATAACCCGTTTTTTAATTAGACCTTTCAATTACTGCCTAAGAATGAGTGGCCTAAGACACTGGAACGGCCTAAGATCCAGGAGTGGTACCAGAGTTCAGAGGGTTGGAAGGGGCCAAAGAAAGGAGCTGGAATGCCAGGGTGATAATGAGCCTCTTTGGCTGGCAATTAATTCCTTTCTTTTTTTCTCATTAAGCAGAAAACAAGTGAAAACTACTGCAGTGGTGATGGCTCAGGTAACATGTCTGGTCAGCCCCCAAGGTGGTGCCCGTGAACCTGGGTAGCAGCACCCCAGCTGTCTGGCACTTGGAGCTGCCCTAAAAGCTTCAGGTTTGTTCTCTAATCCCCTACTGTTTGGGGATTACACAGGATCTGTGTTACAGCATCCTCTGAGCATCTGCACCTCATGGCTCTGCCACTGCTCATCCTTATCTCTCATTTCCATTTGTAGGTCATAGTTGAGGTGCACTTGTGTTTTTTAGGGTGGGTTTGGTTTTTGTG